TAACGCTATACCCAATAACATAAAACTACAACCAAGGAAGAGTTTCGGGAACGAGTTGAAAATGTGGCTATTTAATAAATCTTTTTATTCGGTTAGTGAGTTGTTGGAAAAACAATATCTTTAAATTTTGGGCTATTTTTTAATAATAATATTTTAATACTTATGTATATAATTTGACATGAAAATATAAATATTAATGATGTGATAGTGAAAATAATAGTAAACGTTTTTGTTTTATTATGTCATATTCTAGTTTATTTTTATGTTTTTTGTTGGTTAATTATTTTAATGTTTTTTTTTTGTAATTATAATCTATGTTGTACTTAATGTTTTTAAATTTATGTCATTTTGTACACCAGAAATGGTTAATGTGTTGTACCATATTTTTATAACAACTGTAAAATACAAACCTTATGAAAAATAACCAAATAAATAAACAAATAAATAAATGTCACTGGTACTTTTCTGTCAACGTTTGTAAATACTTGGTAAGAAAATTCGTAAATTTCTACATTATATAATAGATTTGTTTCTACGAAAACCTTTTCGTTCTTTTGCAAAAATATTGATTTTTAAAAATAATTCAATGATTTAAAAAGGAAGGATAGGCCCATATAAATATTTTACTCATAACTTTTTCATAAAAGAAAAAGTAGCGCATCTGTCATAATCGTACGTCGTATATGTAACGTAGATTTCGTAGTATAATTATCCTAATTGTACCATTATTTCTAGTTTGTAGTATATAGTATCGTAATAATACTAAGCGAAAATACCATAATTTTACCTAAAGGTCGACATGTATTATTATTGGGTCCTTTTACATTTTAATATTGACCCTACGATATTGAGAATTTATGTAGTGTATGTAAGTATCTATGGGGTCTGAACTGATAAATTAATAGTCTATATTCACACTTATATTTTTATTGCGCTGGGCGCACAGTAATGACAGTCTAACAACAGCACAATACAGAAGGTACGAATGAGAAGATAGAAACACAGTAATATACGAAAAGAAGAATTTAACAATACAAACTGCGTAAGCGTGGGTCTTGGGCTAACAACAGGTATAGGACATATGCGACGTGCAACGCGGAAGCGGACGAACTGGCCATCTCGTTGTCCCTAAAGTTGGCCGTTATAACATACAACAGATAATATATTTTATTATATATTGGTAATCTTACAACACATTAGAATAATGAACCATTAACTGTTATAATATTATATTCATTTTCGTTAGAAAACGTCATCTAAACGCCGAGACGCGGCACCTCAATGGGAGTCAATAAAATACAACATTCATTATGCCACAAGAATTGCGTATAGCTTACACTAATTTAAACTCTAAGCTAACTTAATAAGAGCTTATTTTACTAACACTAAATTATAACGGTAAACAAAAATATATTATTTCTTTAATTGCTAGCTGTTGCCCGTTGTACCTGTTATTTAATTTTTTGGCTGTTGTAATATATTAGTGTTCAGTTAGCTGTCTAGCTGAGATGACAATGACATTGTTATCTATTAAATTATATACGTAATGTTTTGATAGCAGGTCCCCATATTACGTGAAAAAGCTATTGTTGTTTTTGTTTATTTTTATTTAAGTTTTATTCCTAAAATAATTTTAAATATTTAGTGTAATATAGATAGCATTTAGCGTGTTGTATGTAAAAGTGTATAATAATGTCGCGTCAGCGTAGCGCAGCCATTTGAAACTATTTTAAGTCTAAGTCTAAAGTGTGGACGAAAAAAGCAGTGTGCAATTAAAAAAAAACTTTATCTTTCAAAAGTACAATTACAAATTTAAAGCTTCACCTTAAGCAAAAACACGTAGGAGTGTATGAAGAGTTATGCTGTTCGGATTTAATATCGGATAGACTCACAAGGCTTACGTCGTCAAAACTAAATCAAATAATGTTTTTGAATAGTAACTAAAAAAAATATAAATAATTGTAGATAATCAAAATGTACATAACATCAATAAGCTTCTAACTACGAATGAATGAGTTATTTTTCTTAAAATGTTTGAAAATATGAGTAAATAATTATAACAGATACAATAATTACACAGCTTAACATACATTCAGACAGTCCTAAGCTTATAAAAAGTAGGAAGGGAAGTTCATTAAACTTAACATACATATTTTAAATGATTTTCTTTTAAAACATGAAACACTCAAATGATGCTAATAGAACTTAAAAATATTTTTTTTTTGTCTTCATATAATACTTATAATCGTTTAATATTTATAATATTTATAATCGTAATAATCTTTCATCATAATATTTATAATCGTTATAACAACATACAACAAAATGCTAACACGGCCAACAACTGAACTGAACTAACCGCGTGTACAATGTAATATTTGAAACTGTTATAATAATATATTATAACAGTTTAAAACAACAGTTAGAAAAATATATTACAACAACATAACGAATTAGAAAAATTTTACAACATAACGAATTAGACAAATATAACAACATAACGAATTAGAAAAATATAACAATATAACGAATTAGAAAAATATAACAACATAACGAATTAGAAAAATATAACAACGTAACGAATTAGAAAAATATAATAATATAAGGAATTAGAAAAATATAACAACATAACGAATTAGAAAAATATAACAGTGTCGCCCGCCTTTGGTTGTCGCGGAGGCGCGGGCGCAGCGACCGAACCAGTTTTTCATTCTTCATTATGCAAATTCTCCGCTAGGAGTAATAGTGTTCTGTGATGGAAATACATAAAAATGCATGGCGCGTGTCTGCTTGTATATAATTTAATTTATCTACATATATAATTTACCAATTAAATTTTACAAAATTTAGACATTTTTATTAATCGTACCATTTACAATTAACAAAACATACATTAAGCTCAAAATTTAAGTATAAAATACGAATAATTTTGGACTTTCTACATATAAAATATAAAACTTGCAACATGTACCGCGTTTTTTTAAATAAAATTAGAATTAGCTCCCTTTCTGGTATAAAGAGGATACGTTCGTATACTACGATAAAAACTCTATGCTCCAGAAGCAATCGTTTTCAATCGATCAATTAATTAATTGAAATCAATAATCAATCGAGAACAATCAAAAACAGAATTTCAAAATATGTTATGAATCATATTTTCAGATTCAATTAAGCAGATATGGTTTCTTTTGTAATTTTTTTTTTTGCTTTACCCTTATTGAATATAAAATATATTAGGTAACAATATTCAAAATTTAACTTACACATAGTTCTTTAGACAAAAATTAAAAAGAATAAAAATAAAACCGTCAAAAAACGAAACGTATAGATAAACTAGACGCGTGACGCCAAAATCCCGGCACATGGGAAAAAAGAAAAATGAAACGTCAAACGTGATATTTTTTTTAAAAATAGTATAATTTAATTTTCCATGTACAATATTTTTGAGGATCTGAATCCAACCCTGACCTAACCTTGGTAACGTAACTAAACTAACTGTAAAATAAAACTTTAAAAATGCGTTTATATAACAATTTTATTGTAACAAAATTAATATAAGGTTTTTTACCGATGATACGATATCCCATGTTTTTTTTTTAAATTTTGTATCGTAATTTTTGCATTCCTTTACCATGCAACTAGACATATTTATGACAGGCAAATATGTCCTACACACGCACCACTGTCGACCGATTCGCGTTGGCCTTAAACTTACAGTTTACAGCGCACTGGTCCGTTTTAGTTGTTTAGTTGTTTGGCCGGCAATTCAATGAAATTATTATATAAATTCTTATAAATTACTTTTTCTATAATCGTTTGATAATATAGAAGTTATGGCAATTGGACGGTAACAGGATAAGTTCTCCTTGTCATCTTTTTAAATAGTGGTGTAATAATGGACGTTTTAATAACTTCAGGAAATACTCAATCTTCAACACAGGTTTACAATATGACTCATTACGGGGGCAATTGTATTACCTAGGTGTTTTATTACTTTTGTTTAAATGTTATCAAAACCAGTGCTATTTGTGTTTTTTTAATAACTTTATAGGTAATAAAATGTCATTATTTGTAACAAAATTAAGCAAACATTAATTTTTTTTATAGAATAAGGGTGACAAACGAGCACACAGTCCACCTGATGGTAGGTGGATGCTGTGGCCCATAGACATCTACATTTAAACTCAATTTAGAATCAAAACGCAAATGAGTTGTCACCCCTGAGGACTAAGATGGAATGCCTCGTTTCTAGTAAAAAGTATCTCCGGATCTCGACACTCGAAAACGATACGAAACACAGCATTATTAAGCTACTATTTTACGCTGGTATTCTGTGAGAGCGTAGTCTTTCCCCGGTCGAACCGACCCACTGGTGGCTCTACCACGTTTAAAAATTATTATTTATTGTGTGTCAATTTATTAAAATATGTCATATTATTTTTGTCATCTATTGCATATAGGTACTTGGTCAAAGAAATGATTATTAAAATGCCTGCACAATGTCTTTTGGATTCGCTATAAATTTATCATTTATTTTATTTTGTGTTATAAAATTTCTAGTAATCTCTTTATTATAATTTTTCTGTAACTATTAAAACTTTTCCAAGTTCGTTTTTTTATGAAGTGATAAATGAAAAATGTGATTGTTTTGCGCTTTTTGTGTTAATAAATTATTTTTTTAATCTATTTAAATAAGTTCTAAGCATATTTTTATTGTTATGATTAGGATCTCTTCTATATTGCCACAAAAGGTGAACAATCAATTATACTTCTCACATTACACTCTACCTGCCGATGACCTTATTACTTTAATAATGGTTGTATTATTTCTAATACAAAGATAGCACAGATATGTATTTGTAAACCGTGTTAAACTTACATTGTTGTTACAAAATATGTTTTAATAAAAACAAAAGTCGACTTCGAAGAACTTAAACGAATAAAATAATTTTACATTTTGATGTGGGTTCTAAGACATATTTTATAGAAGAATTAAAGCCCTAGAGTAGAGTACCGCGTAGTGGTGGTGTAGTGGTGGTGTAGTGGTGGTGTAGTGGTGGTGTAGTGGTGGTGTAGTGGTGGTGTAGTGGTTGTGTAGTGGTGGTGTAGTGGCGGTGTAGTGGTGGTGTAGTGGTGGTGTAGTGGTGGTGTAGTGGTGGTGTAGTGGTGGTGTAGTGGCGGTGTAGTGGCGGTGTAGTGGTGGTGTAGTGGTGGTGTAGTGGTGGTGTAGTGGTGGTGTAGTGGTGTTGTAGTGATGGTGTAGTGGTGGTGTAGTGGTGGTGTAGTGGTGGTGTAGTGGCGGTGTAGTGGCGGTGTAGTAGTGGTGTAGTGGTGGTGTAGTGGTGGTGTAGTGGTGGTGTAGTGGTGGTGTAGTGGTGGTGTAGTGGTGGTGTAGTGGTGGTGTAGTGGTGGTGTAGTGGTGGTGTAGTGGTGGTGTAGTGGTGGTGTAGTGGTGGTGTAGTGGTGGTGTAGTGGTGGTGTAGTGGTGGTGTAGTGGTGGTGTAGTGGTGGTGTAGTGGTGGTGTAGTGGTGGTGTAGTGGTGGTGTAGTGGTGGTGTAGTGGTGGTGTAGTGGTGGTGTAGTGGTGGTGTAGTGGTGGTGTAGTGGTGGTGTAGTGGTGGTGTAGTGGTGGTGTAGTGGCGGTGTAAAAATCCACTAGCTCCTGTCTTAGGTTTCATAAGGAGGCGACAGAAGGAAACAACTAGAAAATGGGCAGCAACGTCTTTCTTACAACTATAAAATAAAAAACTGTGGTTTCCAACCGACTTGCCAAACGAAGCTACTTTGGCGAAAATCCTCCTATGAAGCAAGCTATATCACTATAGTTAGTAGTCGTAATAAGCCTATGTTCATCAGTAGAAGTTAATAGGCTGTAACTAACAAAAAAGAGTAGAGTGAACTAAGCCACAACCATAATCATACTGCAACTATATTGTGGTTGTAGCACGAATGGATCGGTAAAACCGGGGTAGGACCACGCTCTCACAGAATACCAGCGTAAAATAGCAGCTTAATACGTTACGTATGGTGAGTGTAGAGAACGAACGTGTGAGAAACGAGGCATTCTATCTCAATATTCAGGGCTGGCAACGCATCTGCATTTGGATTATTAATTGAAGATAAATGTAGATGTCTATAGGCCACAGCACCCACTTACCAGCAGGTGGACTGTGTGCTCGTTTGTCACCATTATTCTATAAAAAATAAATTTCGTAACCTCAATGTCGTTTTAACACACTAAAAGCCTTTTTTACCCTTTATTTTGCTAGTATGGATGGAATTTTCCTTCAAATTTATATTGAATCAGCCATGAATATATAACATATTTATTTAAGGAAATAAATAAGTCCTAATCCTGGTGAAAGGCTTCATCTCATTTCTGAAAGCTCCAATGCGTTTTGTTGACTTCACATGTCTTTGATTTTTTTTTATTTCTCCGACTTGCCGTTTTCGTTTAACGCCGTGCGCGTGGTAAATCAGCACTTACAACTGCAATAAACAATTTCATTGGTGCCGACGGGGTTCGCTCGAACCCGGGTTGCTCATGTAATAAAAAATAACGTTAAACTCACACTAGGATTTTCTACTGTATCGTGTAGAAAGTTTTCATACATAAATTTCACAAGGACAAACATCCACACCCGGAACAACTATTTGTAGGCCATACAAATACTTGAAGCGTGCGGGACACGAACCCGCGACTTACAGCGGTGCAACTCATTGCTAAACCACTGCGCCACGAGGCTATCGGATTTATGGCGAGTGCCTAGTTTCTGAGCTATCATGACTCTATTATTATATGTAAGTAAATGTTTTGTTAACATTTACGGTATCTTTACACGTACGTAACAGTGATTAATCAAAATGTAATAGCAACACTGTAGCCGCAATTGCGGTGATGTGCGACGTTGAATGATTGACCGTCCTAATGTTGGCTCTGTTAAAATATGTTTACTGAACAGATATTAACTCTAAAACGCTCATTATTCTGTAATTAATCAAATATGAAATCGGTTCAAAATAACTGAACTGTTGTTACCTTTCAGCGTCCCATATCTTTAGGGTGACAGTAGTATCTTAGATCTTAGAAATCTTAGATCTATCATTTTCCACTCGTATAAAAAACTTACATAAAATTTTACACTTGTCCGTGGTTTTAGTATAAATCCAGTATGAATATAATATAAATAAATAAAAAATGGATTGGCTTGATCGGAATTCTATCTTCCTTACAGAATCAAAATGCAGCACCACCTTTCTGATAACAACGCAAAGTAATAAATAACTGCAATTGTACACCCCTTTTCAAGCGTGGCAACTTTGGCAAATTCTATCTTATGAGTCTTCTTATGAATCTACGAATGAAGCCAATGTTCAACAGAGGACGTTTATAGAGTTAATGCTAATGTTTATAATACCAGCGAGAGAAATTAGGTAACCGGATTTTTTGTATACCAATGGTAGCCGGCCATATAGCGGAAAAAATTGACAACCGGTGAGAAAGTTAGGTTTTTGAGTAGCAGCTGTAGACGAAGTGTAAAGCCGCTCCAACTAAACGACCAGGTAAGAAATGCAGGAAGTCGGTGAAAGTAGGTGGCTCGGGACCGTGTTTTGTGTCATTTCTTGGAGGAGACATATATTCAGCAGTGGACTTGTGATGGGTTGTGATGGTGACGATGATGATAAAAGTAATGATGACGATGTAATTCAGACCAAATTTCTGTTACGGAAGTTGGGCGCTATAGAAACTAGGCCTCTGCGCAGGATGTAATTATAATGCACGAGTGTATGCGCAAGCACTTGTGCACTTTCTATTCTCTCACTCTCATAGTCCGATAGAACAACAATCCGACATGAAGATAGAGATCAGGTGTAGAACTAATGTTCTTTAACTGCGGACGTTCTCTAATTTCTTGTCAGAAAAACCCAATAACTGATTTTGGTCCGATTCAGGATTCAAAATCGGGACCTTTAAATCAGTAGTCACGCTAACGACTACTAGACCAACGCGGCTGTCACTATAATACTTATTTTCGCAAAATCATACTGATCTATACTAATGTCAAAATTCAAACATTCACGTACAAATTTTCATTTTAATTAATTTTCCAAGAAATAAAAATATTGTCTTATATAATCACAATAATTATAACAAAGCCTATAACGTGACTCTCCTGCAAAATACAGACTATAATCTCTGGAGATTAATGAAAAAGAAATCTAATTTAGCCGCCGTACGGAATGAGGGCTCTCGGGTTGAGAAAGCGGGAGCAAAGGGAAGCATCTTGATTACAGTACATAATACAAACGTGCTGTAATTTATGTTAATCGAAATACTGATTACCTCATAATATAATGTTGAATCGAAATATCTCATTATAGTCCATACACATAAAAAATTGAAATGTTTGTCATTAATAATGAAATAGCTGGCTTCTACTGAGCTTCAGGTTATTTGCACTAAGATTTAAACCATTTTCAGTTTTGTTGTCTGTTTGTCTGTAAGCCATTCTGTCCGCGCTAATCTGTGCAATGGCTGAGCCCATTGTATTAAAACTTTATATACAGTGAAAGTAATACAAAGAGGAATTATCTCACAGAATACCGGCGTCAAATTGTAGCTTAATGCTGGTGTGTTTTTTATGGTGGGTGTAGAGAACCGGAGATCCTTTTGACTGGAAACGAGGCATCCCATCTTAGTCCTCACGATTGACAACGCATATGAATTTTCGTAATCGTAATCGAGAATAGATGTGGATGTCTATGGGCTACAGCAACCACTTATCATCAGGTGGACTGTGTGCTCGTTTGTCATCCTATCATATATAGAAAAAAAGGAATCTAGGCTATTATTTATCCGAAAAACTGAAAGATTTTTTTGAAAAAAAAACTAAAATTTGATAAATTAAATGGTCTGTGATCGTCTTAAATCTAAATAGTTCCTTATAAATCAATTCTAACCTGGCAAAACCCGGCCGGGTTGCTAGTATAATTTTAAACAGGAATATCTAACATGAGCTTCGTATGCTTAAATATAAAATTAAACCCACAAATGCCTTAAAAGGTGGTAGCTTAAAAGATGTAATTAAAGTTTCAACTACCGTGTTGTTCAAAATACGTTTATACTTAAAGTATTTCCTACTAAGTAACTTTCGATATTTAAATGTGTTTACGAGTAGAGTCACGATAGTAGACCGTCGCCTCATTATGCGACGGCCATATGCTGCTATTTCACGCTGGTGTGCTGTATGAGTGTGTTTATTTCCTGATCTAGGCCAAATATAATTTGCTGCAATGTCACTATTACTCATTCAATTATATGTGTTCAATCAACGTCATGTCATGGCAAAATCAATTTATCGAGTTTAGTATATAATAGAGTCATCCTGAAGCTATAATATCACTGTTGTGTGTATTCAATGGATCGGACAGACCAGGGAAATACACCACTTTCACAGAATACTAGCTTGAAATATCAGAACAGTTTAATGCCGCTGTATTTTAAATGGTTAGTACAGAGAACGGGAGAATCCTTTTATTGGGAACGAAAGCATACCATTTTAGTCCTTAGGAGTAACAACGCATCTACATTTAAATTTTTAATCGAGGGTAGATGTAAATACCAAACCGATTGCCAATTGCGATTGACAATGGTGCCAATTTTACGAAATGCGGTGAATTTAACATTTGATGAACTGTAATGAAATAAAAATAATGAATATTAATTGAGAATTATACTATATTTACTCTTTAGACCCAAGTACTTTGTAGACTTTCTCGTACTATGTAGGAATTAAATTTTAACGGCGTAGTTAGTTTTTCATCGTCTATAACAATTATATAATTGTAATAACAAAGACGATCTCTGCTAATTCTATTAATTCGGAACACAACAAAAACAAGATATGAATAGAGTGTATTATCTATGGCTATAATAGTGAGCAATGGAGAGTAAGGAGGTATTATAAACAGTAGGTAGTAGGGTAGTAAGTAGGTTAACACTCCATTAGTCGCGCGTTCTACTATTGTAGAACAGGCATGCATTTCGTGGGATTTTAACATTAATTGTGGGTGTCTAACGCACACACTCATAGTATTCCTCTATTACTAGCTGGTGATCACAATTAGTACCCTTTCGGCAAACTGCGCGATCGCCTTTGTTAGAAATTTCGCACTAAAACTACAATTCTACAATAGTAGAGCGCGCGAGCACTCGAGTGTCATTTTTGTCGGAAGTTTACCTATCGTTTTTATTTTATGTAAGTGTTTATATTATGTATAAATATTGTTATTATGATTTTTTTTTTGTTTGATAATATTATTTTTAACCGAAGTAACTATATTTCGCACAATGATGGCACATATTTTGAGATGGTTGGAAGAAGTTATTACTGATGAAGCAACCAGTAAAGTATGGGATACATATATTTTTACTAACGGATACAAAGGTACCTTATGCCTACCATATGGAAATATACGCAGGTGCTCAGTCAGATGGTCCTTATGCACAATCAAATAAAGTTGTGGACATTGTGCAACGAATGCTTACCCCATTGGATGGTTTAGGTTATAACGTCACAATGCACAATTGATTCACGAATATACCTCAATGCTTAGAACTCTTAGGTAGCAAAATTACTGTCATAGGCACTGTGAAGAAAAATAAGCCACAAATTCC